CAAAAAAGTGCATCACTGATCAAGTAATTTTGATACTTTTGGATAATGGACGACATGATCAACTGATCTTTACTGGAGGAATCGACGGAATGGTCACGAGTTTCATTATTTTTTCCGATGATTCCTGTTTAGGAGCCCGCCATTTCTCCAAGTATAGAGGAAAGTCTACCTATTAGAAAATTATTCATTGGAAATTTGGCTGAACGTACAACGAACAAAGAGGTCCAGAAGTTGATCTCGAAATTCGGAAAGATGGACAGTTGCTACATTAAGAGAACTCAGAGAAGAAGGAATTTTTGATTCGTGACATTCAACGCAGTTGAGGCTGGAATAAAACCTCGTGAGACTGGTCTGAGGCTGGAGTTGCAGGTACGGCGGAATCGAGTGTCATTAGCTGATTCATGGCACCAGCCAGATGTCATCGAGAACCAGAGGAGATTCTTCCTGGGAGAAAAGCAAAGCAAGAGCCACGAGGATGAGATCACAGTAGAGCAGATGCCACGGGATGACTCTCTCATCCAAGTCCTCAATGGCGACCGTTTCATTGAGATATTCTTGTACCTTCTAATGGCTGATAGAATAAGAATTGAGGGAGTGTGCAAACACTGGAAAACTCTCTCCTAAGAATCCTGGAGATCAGTAAAAAGACTGGAGCTGGTGAAAGGGCTCTGGGGCTTCGCCCCAAAAACTCGGCTTCAAATAATTGATACTAGTACATTGAGAAAATTTCTAATAAAGTGTGGAGAATTCTCCATACACCGGGAAATCTCAATCTATGTTTAGTTTCTGAGCTCCAGCACATTAATAATCGTTAGAAAATTCTGTTCCAATCTTTAGTGCATCAATATTGACGCGCTGGAACTATTACCCTCTGAAATCGCTTCTCTAGGGTGTCTCCACTCTACACAATGGAGAAGGCTCAGGGGTTCATCAGTTAATTGTGTCACCCCATCTATCACTAAAGTCTCCAGCTTTGGCAGTGACGCTAAGCTTATAATGACCTTATCAGATAATGACCTTATCAGTGATAGCTTTGCACCTAGTAATATCTAGATAATTAAGTGTCTTGCTATTCCCAGTCTTTTTACTGATATCCAGGATTCTTGGGAGAGAGTTTGCCAGTGTTTGCACACTTCTCAATTCTGATTCTATCAGCAATTGGAAGTTACAAGAATATCTCGATGAAACACTCGCCATTGAGAACTTGGATGAGAGAGTCATCCTGTGGCATCTGCTCTACTGTGATCTCATTCTAGCGGCTTTTGTTCTGCTTCTCCCCCAGGGAGAATTTCTTCTGGCCCTCGATGACTTCTGGCTCGTGCCATGAGTCAGTTGATGACACTCGATTCTGCTGTGTAACTGTAACACCATCCTCAAACCATCCTCACGAGCTTTTATTCCAGCCTCAACTGCGTTGAATGTTACGAATCCAAAATTACTTCTTCTTTAAGTACACTTACCTCTATACTTGAAGAAATGGCGGGCTTCGAAACAGGAATCATCGGGAGAAAGGATGAAACCCGTAACCGTTCCATCAATCTCTCCAGTAAAGGGTAGTTGATCATGTCGTCCATTATGAAAGAGTATCAAAAATACTTCATCAATGATGCACTTTTTTGTTTAACCATACTGGTGAAAAACTAATATAAAAAACAATGGTTCTCTTTTATTTAAATTCGCTCAAACGCTGCCTGTAGGGGCTCTCGAGTTCTTATTGTATTGTGTTAATAATATTATGTATTTTTTAAAATTAAATGTGCTAAAAACAATTTTTTGTTTGCTGTACTATATTTTAAAAAATGCACAAGCGTATTTGCTGAGAGAAGGACTGATCTGGTTGGTTGGTTGGTTGGTTGATCTGGTTGGTTGGTTGGTTGGTTGATATGGTTGGTTGGTTGGTTGGTTGATCTGGTTGGTTGATTGGTTGGTTGGTTGGTTGGTTGATCTGGTTGGTTGATTGGTTGGTTGGTTGGTTGGTTGGTTGATCTGGTTGGTTGGTTGGTTGATCTGGTTGGTTGGTTGGTTGGTTGGTTGGTTGGTTGATCTGGTTGGTTGGTTGGTTGGTTGGTTGGTTGGTTGATCTGGTTGGTTGGTTGGTTGGTTGGTTGGTTGGTTGGTTGGTTGGTTGGTTGTTTGGTTGGTTGGTTGGTTGGTTGGTTGGTTGGTTGGTTGGTCTGGTTGATCTGGTTGGTTGATTGGTTGATCTGGTCGGTTGTTGATTAATTGATTGATTGATTGATTGATTGATTGATTGATTGGTTGGTCTGGTTGGTTGGTTAATTTGGTTGGTTGGTTGATCTGATCAAATCGACCCAATCGACTGAAATTCCCATTAATCTCCTCTTGGTGAAAACATCCCCAAGCATCGCCATTACATCAAATAAACATCTCCAAAACGTCAAACGTCGTTATAGTAACGATTTCCAAGTTCATCTGTTAGAAAATATGCATGCTTTACAAGAAGAAACTGAATTTGCTCAATTTCTACTATCTGTTGGGGATGGAACATTGAATAGCAACGAATGCGAGATATATCTAGCTGATGAGTGTATAGCACTTCCAGATGAAGATATCGCAGAGGATTTATATGAGGGGTGATTAACGAGTTACTATTGAAAAATAAATTGTTCATTCTCATAAAACATTCGCAAATGCATTGCCAAATGGGACTTTTAGCAACGTCTTGGTCGCTTTAGTGGCCGGGGCAACGCTAGTACATGATAATATACATTATATTATCAGTATAACTTAGTTAAAACAAAGTTAAACTGCATTCTTAAGCTTTACATAAAATTATCTTGTATTCTATTGTATTATGATCTTTAACTAGCACAATCTCCTTTCCAAAGTTTTTTATCTTCCAATTAGGGTTTGACTTTAATTATGGCCTTTCTTAATCACCTCCTCATAAGGTGCGATATATGCATATAGTAACTATCCTCTGACACTAATCCAGGCATGGGCAACCTCCAGAGCAGAGTCATGAATTCCTCGAGTTAGGAATTCAATAAAGTTTATAACCATACCCATTATAAGGGTCCTAGTACGAGTGGGGGCAGTAGTGGAGGGGCCTTACAGTTACAGTATCGGGGAACGTTTGATGAGGCGTCTCCCAAATGGTAAAGTGAGAAAAATAGCCGCTGAGATTAATAAAAAAAGAAAGTAAAACTCCAAATCTGGAGAAATAGTATATTTCACACCTAGGGAGGTAAAGTAAAGAAGGCTTGCTGAGCTTTACTAGCCATATTTCTCATATGTCTCGATGATCCACCCTTGGTTGAGAACCAGTAGCCGAGGTACTTGAATTCAACTCTCTCAACATCTTCTGCAAGTCCTCTGGCGTGTCAGCCACCAGAGCCACATCATCTGCATATTTTAGACAGTACATGCTGGTCGAACCAATCCATGACGCTCCTACATGCCTGCTGGTCCATATATCATCTATGTCATCCAGCATAATGTTAAATAAACTGGGACTTAGTGGACATCCTTGCCTAACACCAGAATGCACCCGGAATCGGTCAGAGACTCCTCCGTTTACGATTGTTTCGCACGTCGTAATTCTGTAGATTTCCTGAATCATTCTGAATGTCCGTATTCCACAAAAGCTCCGGGGCGTATGTTAAAAGCGGTCTGATGAGTAAAACGTAAAAAATTAAACTTGCTTTTTTGTTAATATATTCATTGTGAAATAAATGGCTGCGAGTCGATTTGGTATTCAGTGTGTGTTGAGCATCTGATCAAGAAATTTCATCGTACTCCTAAATACTTGACAATTTCTTTATTTGGTATTATTGACTCCTCATTTATAACTGGGTCTTTTATTTCTATTTAAAAATCTCTTATATTTTTTCTTATTTGTTGCTAAATTAATGGCTGTATTTCAAAACCAGATTGCCTCGCTCTTAAATGAGTTCACTTCCAAATTCCATGTGGAATATAAGCAATTAACTTTGTTGATTAAGGCCCGGATGGACTATCCGGAAAAGATAATTTACTCCAAAATCGGGATTCCTAATTACTCCGCCAATTAATAATTGTTTTTTCCGATAATTGTTAGCTAGCGTTCTAGTCGTTGACAACCGCTAGAACGCTAGCTAACAATTATTTTAAAAAAACGATTAATTGCTAGAGTAATTAGGAATCCCAATTTTGGAGTAAATTATTTTTTCCAGATAATCCAACTGGTCCTTAAATCATTCAGTTATTTATCTCAGTGCAATTATCACCAGCGACATAAATGATTCTATTATCTGCGTAAGCTAATGAAAAAGTTTTATTTTCTGATCTTATATCGACTGAATCGATCATATGTGCTGTAAATAGGGGAAATAAGCACGGAAAGTTTAGGGATCCCTCTCCTAAACCCTCGGTCATTTGAAAGCTTAAGTTTAATAACTTATTGTGATTGACAACTTAAGCCATTAAGAATAGTAAGCCATTTAGCTATACGCTGTTAAAGGCTGTTTTAAAATCAAGGAGTACTGCACCAACTATTTTGTTACTAAAAAGATGTTCATTTATATCAGATAGCAGTTTATTAACTGTCTGAAGGTTGACTGGCAGTATCTCTCATCAGCTTTTGTCTCTTCACGCAAGAGCTATCTTGCGTCTATCTCCATCTCTTTTTTCATTTTACACCAGGGCTTCATTCGATTTTCGTACTTCTTGATATTGAAATTCTGTCATAATCCATTGGATTTTTATTGAATTTGCAATTTTTAAGGACTCGTTCATATTATTTTTGGGATGTAATTGATAATCTGTGTAATAGACTTCTATTACTACTTTAGATTTTTTGTTTCTTTATGCCGAATAAATACTGCTTTGATGAGGGACACCTTGTGGATCCAAAACATTGGCAAAAAAAACATGATTGTTCGTTTTTTTAGAGGATTGAATCTGCCCCATTACAAAATAGCTTTTCTTGTTTTTCCATTCGAGACTTTTATTGAGGTAACAATGCGAGAGAAAAATCTACATAATTCTATGGACCAATCATACAAAAAATACAAAACAATAAATGTGGAAAAATTTGATAAAAGTCGTACATTTTATTGAAATCATCGTGAGGTTTCAACACAACAAGTTCCTAACACGTTTAATCAATGAAAATCATTTCTGTCATACAAAAAATAGATAAGTGATAGACAGAATGTCATATTAGGATATACAGAACGGAATAAAAACAATTAAAAATACTCTATATACATCTTTTAATCTTAAAACATCCAGAGTGAATGTTAGTCTAGGTAAACCTCAACAATTCCTTCAAGCTTTGTTGAGGGGTTGAATGGTGTAATTGAGTGGAGGGGGCGGTACAAGAAGGGGTAAGGGGGTGGGAGGTGGTGTAGACTGTGTTGCACTTGGAGGTGACACATCAGGTTCCACTGTCTTAAGAGTTGCACTGTAAGCAGCCAAATAACTTGGCCACAGATGAGGAGGAGGTGGTGAGCCTGAAGGTGGTGGAGGAGGTGATCGATCGTCCATCTCGTCTGAATCGTCCAACATCAAGGCTGTCAGAGGTGTTATTCTTGGTTTTTTCAATTTGATTATCTTCACCTTCACCTTCTTCTTAGTCTTGGGCGCCTTAACCCTCTTCGGTTTTTTCCTCTCCCTTTTTCTCATCCTCTTCTTCACCATTTCCCTAACAGGATCATTAATTGATGCTGAAGCAGGTGGCGGAGGTGAGGGCATGTCTCCCTCACCACCACTGGGACTTGTCCCCTCCCCAGGTTTCACTCCATCAGCGAATTGCACAGCCTTCCTTCTCGCCCTTCTTGTCCTCAATTTCTTCTCCCTTTCCTCCCTCTCCTCCCTCACTTCGTTATCGCCAAGTGCCTCACAGCGAATCTCTCCCTGTCCTTCGACCGAAACCTCAGGTGCATCAATTTTCTCCGCCTCCTCCTCAGCATCTCCATTGAGCAATCGATTCGCCCACTGTCCAGGAGGAACCAGAATTCCCTTCTTCGGAGCAGGAAGAACGCCAAGATCCCCTTCAACATCGACTTTGCTTTTGCACTCCTTCAGGTCCCCCAGTGCTGGTATCAACTTGCTCTCTTCGTCCTCCTGCTCCTCCTCACTCTCCTCAATCTCATCCTCCTCATCATCTTCATCGACATCTCCCTCAAGATCCACCTCCTCGTCCTCATCATAATCCCCTCCAAACTCTTTCACATCTCCAGTAGCTTCAATGAACGTTCCTGCAACACTCTCTTCCTCTTCCTCATCAATCAGCTTGCTCACATCCTCTGAAATCTCAGACGTCTCTTCTACAGTCTCATTACCTCGAGAAACTTTATCGAGAATCTTTTCAGCCCTCTTCCTCATCCTTATTATTCTCCTGTTCTCCTTCTCATTCCTCTTCTCAGCTCTCAATTTTCGCCTCTCATCCTTCTCCTTCTTCCTGGCTTCTATAATCGCTTCGTAATTATAAACAGGTTGAGGTACAGGTGGTGGCTTAGGGACGGTCAATCTAGGTAGAGGAGTAGGAGTCGATACTTGGGGGAGAGGGACAGGAAGAGGATGAGGGGATGATGGGACACTAGCAACTGGAGGAGTGGGATATACTGGAGGTGGTCTGTCCATGCCAACAGGAGTGGGTCCAGTGGCAGTCCAGTCTAGGTTGGTCGTCGGCACCACCTGGAGAACATTGCCAACCCTGAGGACTCGGTTGCCGTTGGCAGCTGATGGTACTGGTGAAGGAGGAATGTCCGAACGATTGACTGGGGGTACTCCAGCAGGCTGATAGTCCCTGGGTACCACTTGAAGAACATTACCCACTTGTAAAACTGTTGGAGGTCGGTGAAAAGCTACAGGTCCTGGATGCGGTGGCAGTGGAATTGATCCGGCAGCCATCATGTGGGGATAAATTGCAGCCCTGTATGCTGGAATCTCCTGGGATTTTTTTATTCCAAGTTCAAGTTCCAGACGATCGTCAAGAGACAGACGTTTTGGAGAGCCTGAAGAGTCTTCTACTCTTGGAGGGTAAGTAAGATTATTGCTGGGGAAGTACGCAAAGTCTTGGTCGGGTTGATACCTGAAATTAGCGGCCTGGAGACCCTCATTTGCCATCACCCCACCTTCCTCCGGTGCCGGAGGATTCATTCCTGGAGGATGTACAATCGTCTCTATTTTTCTCCCCCTATCCCCACTGGAACTTCTGAATCTCTCTTCACGTCTTCGTCTCCGTGGAGACAGTGATCTGGATCTCGATCTTCTTCTAGTCCTCTCCAAACTCTGTCGACTCGACCTCGATCTCTCCCGCGATGCTGATCTGTCCCTACTTCTCGATCTCAGAGGACTTCTCGATCTTATAGGACTCCTCGATCTAGATTTCGTCCAGGACCTCGATCCCGACCTGGGCACGAATTTATCTCTTTCCCTTTCCCTTTCCCTCCTAGGCGATCTTTTCCTCTCTCTTTCCCTTCTTCTCTCTGGTGATCTCCTCACTGGCGATCTCCTTCCAGGGGATCTTCTCCCTGGGGATCTTCTACCTGGAGATCTTCTCCCCGGAGATCGTCTTCCTGGAGACCTTCGGCCAGGCGATCTTCCGACTGGAGACCTTCTCAATGGGGATCTCCTTCCTGGTGACCTTCTTCTCACCCTCTCACTCTCTCGATGATCCCATTCCCTCTGATTCCTGCACTTGAGCTCGAGTTCAGGACACAAGGATGGAATGACTGGCTCTTCGTTCATTTCTCTGTCGAGACTCTCCCTCTGGAAATCCCTGTCGTCGAAAGTCAATTCCAGCAGAGGTCGGATGTCATAAACATCTTGAGAGTTACCTGCCTCCCTCGGAGCTTCTACCCTTCTTGTCTCCGCGAACCTTTTACTCCCTCTGAAGATCTCCAGAGGATCATAAGTCTTATCCGAAGACTTCTCCAAACTCCAGTCCCTCTCTCTCCTCTCCCTCCCCCGTAGTCTTCCAGGGCTGTACCTCTCTCGACCTTCTCCCGCATGTTTAAACCTCCTCTGTCTATCTCTCCTGCTAGGACTTCTGCTTCGACTCCTGGACCAGCTTCTCGATCTACTCCTGCTATGTCTTCTCTTCCAAGAGGGCGACCGCCTTTTTTCTGAATGTCTTCTGTCTGGAGATCTTCTCCTCGGTGAGAGTGAACAGTCTCTACGACTTCGTTCCTCCGTTTTTAACTTCTCTGGCTCTTTCACGGAACTTTTATTACTCCTGTGGCTGGAGTTACTCGTTCTCTCCTCAGAAATTCTAGGTTTTGCTTTATCTGAATCTCTAGGTGATATTTTACGACGATCTGGAGTTGTCGACGATCGTGATGTTTGGGGAGTGATTTCGACAAATGTATTCATGAATACTTCTTTTGTTTTTAAAAGAGACTCCACTGGTGATACCCTTGGAGTCAATCTTTCTCCTCCTTCTGATGACATTTTTGGGGACTTTTTGAGTGCCACACTGGCTTCCGAATCTTTCTGAATTTTATCGAATTCCTGATCTCGTAACTTCGAGAACATATCCTGTTTGAGCTGATGGAGAACATTCTTGGAAGGGTCTTCTGGTGATTTTCCCAGAAGGAAGTCATCAGTTTTGGGTGAAAGAACTAAAGGAGGAGTGGACGATTCAATTTCGTGAATTCGAGATACTTGATCTTTGATTGGTTCAGTTTTAGGTGAATCAGGAGGTTCTGACGATGACTCTGACGAGGACGTCTCGGAAGTTGATTCACTAGACTCTGAAATATCATCTGCAGGTTCAGATTTGTGAGAATCAGCTGGAGAACTTGGACTGTAAAGATGGTCCTTTTCTTCAGGAAGATCTCCAATTTTCTCGATTACAGTCTTAAGTTCAGGTTTAAAACTCAGAGGCTCGAGTTTTGATTCAGAAGTGGCTGGAGGCACTGGTCTGACATCAACAAGGTTCAACGAACTCGTCCATTCCTCCTCTTCCTCCCAATTGACAGGAACCAGTGGACCTTCTGGAGTGGGAGGATCCGTAGCGATAGATAATTCTGAAGACTTGCTCTCCCATTCGGCCTTCCTCACTCCTGCAGACTTTTCCTTAACTGTGAAAAGATCCTGAAGTGTACCGAGCAGCGTATCCTCTCTCTCCTCAGATTTATCCATTCGCTCATTAGATTTTATTGTTTCTTTCGTCTTCAGATCAGCAAGAGACGTTTCTACAGTCCCAATAACCGCAGCGTCGGCTGACTTCTTGCCAGGATTTACCGTCTCCATGAGCAAAGCCTCTCGTTCTCCCTCCTCCTCCTCATCCTCCCAGATCCTCAGACAAACCCTTCCACTCAGTTTCTTCTTATTCTCTTTGATCATTTCCTTCTCAACAGCAATATAAGTATCAGTTTTTTCGTCATACTTCACTTCCTTCTCGATCTTCCTGTGTTTCTTCGATTTATCTTTCAAGAGGTCGTTGACAGCCTCCATGGAGTCGACCTCCCAGTCGTCTATCAATGTACCTCTCCCCTGCTCAAGCTGCGTCAGAGAAGGAAAATCAAAGTCAAATTCCGTCAAGTATTTCCTGGGTTTCTTGACCCTCTCCGAGGATTTTCTTCGACTGTGGGATTTCTTGCTGTGACTCTTATTCTTTTCTGTCGCAGATTCCCCGACACTGCTAGAGGATGAGGAATAGCTACTGGAGCTGGTGGAAGATGAAGTACTGCTCGTCGATACACTTCGTCGTTTTTTGTGTCTATTCGGAGATTTTCGGGTTCTCAGTAGCTCGAGTTCGATCTCTCGTTTCTTCTCCAAGAGTTCCTCTTCCAGGGTGTCATCTGGGGGAAGGTGAATGTCTCTGGAAGGCTCTGGAGCCGATGGCAAAGGGATTTCTTCAGGCCTTAAAGCTTCTAGAGGATGGGCTCCTTCGGGAATCGGAATTAAAGCTATTTTCTCTGGATCTGTCATCTCTTGTTCATGAATTTGATCCTTTTCAAGTTGAAATTCTGATGATTCCATCTGATTCTCGTCGATTTCCTCATTTATTTCGCCATCCTCTTGTTCGGAAACACTTGGAGTTTTGTCCTTTTCTATTTTAATAACAATGTCTTGGATGTATTGAGGCTCAGTTTCATGCGAAGTCTCGGTGGTAATTGAAATAGAATTTTTCTCCAGGGGCATGTCTTCTTCTTCTATTTCTTTTTTTATCTTCTGAAGTTTTTGCGTCTCTGACGATCTCGAGTCTTCTCGGTTGGAAGTCTTTGAACGCTTGACGACTTTCTTCTTCTTCCTCTTCCGTTTGAGTGATCTTTCTGGTGAACTACTGGAGTCAGAATCCGATGAGTCTCTCCTCGATTTCTTTCTTCGCAGTTTCAGCTTCTTGTGTTTCCTTTGTTTTTTAAAGGTCTTTCTTCGCCTTCTGGGACTGTCTTCACTGCTGGAATCATCACTAGTGCTGCTGGAGCTGCTGGAATCCCTCGATCGCCTCTTTTTTCTTTGCCTCTTCCGTTTTCGCTTGCGCCTTTCGTACTCTGAATCCGAACTCGAAGAGTCACTTGTCTCTGTCGATGTTGCTGTCTTTTTCTTCGAGGACTTCTTGTGGGATTTTGTTTCGACACCGTGACTCTTAAATTCCTTCATTCTTGGAGTTTCTGGAGACTTCAGAAGTTGTTCCCCTTCAACTGTCATATTTGCTGAAATTTTCATTGTTTCTCCCTTTGGAAGAGTTATTTTCTTTCCTTCAGAATCCTCAAAAGGTAATTCGTGATGGTCTTCTTCAATTTTTTCCATTTTCTCAATTTCCTTAGACGTGTATACAGCAGTTTTCACGATATCCCTCGACTCTTTGACACTGGACATCTCTTGAGACAACGATGAATCTTTTGGAGAAGTCTCAGGCTCAGTGCTCACCATCTTCATGAACTCCTCGTACTCAGAAACTAGTCCACCAGTCATTTCTTCATCAACCTCTTCCTCAATCTCCCCTTCTTCCATAACATCAGCGATTTTTTCTTTCTCAGGTGTTGTTACCCTCTCAACAGCTTTGTCAAGCACTTCCTCGACATACTCCTGAAGAAGATGGTCCTCCTGACGTTTCGATTCTTCTTCCTCCTCCCATCTAGACTTGGGAGGAAAACTCACCTGAGGGACAATATCCATCAAAGCAGGAATTCTCAAAATCTCCAGTTTTCCATTACTGTCAAATTTCTTGTACCAATGTCTGATGACTGGGGCCTCATAAGTTTCCAGATTCTTGCATTCACCATCACTGATTTCTCTCATGATCCTATATCTCTCAGGAGGCAATACCTGTGATAATTTGCTTTTACTGAAAAATAAGGAAATATTGGGATTCTCGGAGTAGAACATTCCCTTGCACTTCTTGGTGATCCTGATGGACTCAGGCGGATATTCCTTCACGCAACTGTCAATGCCATTGATGAGTACTGAATTTCGGGGGGACTTGCAATCACCCACCATGAGCATATGGTCAAAATGATTCTTGTACTCCTGAGGATTTTTCGATTTTAGATCAACTCCAGCAAAACTTAAGGAGTCGTCAAATGGTATATTACTTCTGATGACGTTCCCCTGGGACTTGAATGATCTCCAATTGCTCTCCGTCTCTGAGAGACTTCTGCTACTATTGGCTGACCTTCTGTCTCTTTTTATAAGATCGATTTCTTGTGCTGAGGGCTCTGGATTTTTGGGACACTCCGTGTCTTTGGGCTTTGGATGTTGATCATCTTGAGAAAAACTTCGACGTCTCTCTCGCTTGCTTCTGCCTCGATCTTTTTCCGGAGTTCTTCGTCTTCTCGAAGAATCTGAGGATCCGAAAAAGTTTCTGTGGGAAGATTTTTTGTCGTTGAATCGAGGGTTGTACCTTCTGGAGTCCTCCCAACCGCTTCTGGAACGATTCTCTCTAGATCTGTGGCCAGAGTCACGCCCTCGGGGATCATTTTGGAGTCTAGAAGGGAATTTATTAAGTGTCGAGGCTTTGTCAATAATTTCACCAGCTATTATCTGCTTCTGTCGTGACTCCTCTTGAATTATTTCCTCGATCGCTGGGAGCTTTCTCTCGGAATGTTTTTTCGATTTTTTTATCGAGACCTGGGATTTTTGGTCGTCCTCTGAGTCAGCAGGATGATCCAGTGGGTGCTCTGGGTTTCCCGACCCTTTAGGGACCTCTGATTTCGACTTCTGGTGTGATTCTTTAGAGAGGCTTGACTGAAGTTTCTCCTTTGATTTTTCTAGGGCTTGTTTAACGGACACGTTGAATTTGGCAAAAGCCATCAGTCTCTTTTTTGCCTGGGCCTTGCCAAGCACTGGCTTCGAGATCTTGGGGCTTGAAGATACTGAATCGGCGCCTCGATTGCTATCTGGGGTCTCTGATCTGTCATTTAAGTGAGGGGTGGACGTGTCTGAGGGGATGTCATCCGGGAGGGGCACGTCCTTCAGGGCTGGCGACTCCATGGTGATGGTTTCAAGGAGTTTGTGGAACTCTAGAAACTGGAGAATAGAAAATACTATGTTGAATTATTAATAAGAGATAAACAAAAAAATTATTATTTCATTTATTCCTGTCATAGAAATTCCCAGGAATCACTCTTGACAGATAAAATCTAGCATTCTGCTTATAATTATAATTTCCATATTGCAGTCAGGTGCAATTTTGCCACAGTGTAGTATACAGTAAAAAGATTATCTAAAAAATGGTATTAGAATCCAATGGATCGTTAATTGAAAATTATTAAAAAATTAATTCATAGGGCTGATATCCCAGAATTTTTAACAGGTAGATTCAATTGTTCTAAAAAAATACGTGATTACAAAATTGTATTGCTTATACTGATTATGGATTTTTCTGTACATATGGCAGTATTATTCTCTCACAAAAAGTTAGTTTTATACGAGATGAGGAAATGCAATTTTTGCTGATGCTATTCAGGAATCTAGGACAGGAAATGAAATTGATTCCTCAACGAAATAATAATGGCCGTATAATATCGATGACGCAAAACATAAGAATTAAAGATTTCTTCATAAATTTTTCTCCATTACAGAATTTTTCTTCTTGAACTTATAGCCAATATTTATTTGTTATTGAAAACAATAGAAATACTTATAAGGTTGAACAATTTTATCGTTGGTAATTTTCAATTAGGGATTTGTTTCCTTCTAATAAAATTTGTTTGTTCGACTCTTCAGACACTAGGAGATTAAAAAATCAACTGAAGTTGTTGGTGGCCTTTTTTTAATTACTGATATGGCGAAATTCTCGACAGAAAAGATTTGCCAATTTCTCTAACCCTTTTTAATGAATTATCAAAGTCTTATGAAATAAATTCCAAAGCCACAATTCCTACCTTGTGAAATCTACTCTCATTTCTATCCTTGATTCTAGAAAGAAACTATTGGTTTATGAATTAAAAATCACAAGTTTAGAGGATTTAGAGAAAAATATTATCTTACCCGGTATTTTTCTGGTGAAAAAAACCAATCCTCCTATCGAGTATTTACGTCATCGGATGGTTTATCTTCTTATTTATATTCTTGGAATTATACATTTTTAATGGAATTCATTTTTATTTATTATTAAAAATCAATAGTTATGTTATATTATATTGTATTATTTTCTCATAATTTACGGACGATGCAGTACACAAATGATCATGATGGAGTTTTGATAACCCCTTCAATCGTGAAGTGAGGAAAATTCTACTGATCACTTGTAACAACATGACAAATATTTCGAGAACTTTAGATTTTTGAGTTTTCGCATTGGCAGCACTGGAACTTCTATCGGAGTTCCCGCGCAAATTATTGTGCCAGAGGCTTTGCAAACACGTTAGGACAATAAAATTGTTAACTTACTGTTTTTATAGAGGTAAAGTGAAAATTAAACGTTAAAATGGACGTCGATCAGAGGATCAAGGATATGGAGAGGGAGTATCTCGATTTCCTCGATGATGGGGTAATTATGCTCATGTATTCATTGCTTCTGAGTATTTTTCTATAACCTTAATCGTGGGGGTTTGTTTTTTTTTTCAGGAAGATCAGGGAATTTACCTGAATCTCGTTAAAAATATGATTGAGGAGAACAAATACAGATTGTACGTCAATATCAATGACTTGAGGAGGAAAAATCCGACGAGAGCTACTAAGTGAGTTTTGATTTTGTTAAACTTGAGAGCAACAGGTGCCATTGCATTAGGTTTATATTAATTCATTCCGGAGTGATGGACATTATATGATGATATTGTATGAATAGTATTTGTTTGGGATGGATAATTGTTTCATTTTTTATATTACGGAAAATATTGAGTTTAACAAATTAATGATAACGATGATGATGGTAATAAATATTAATTGTTCGTTTCAGTCTCCTCACAAATTCGTTTGAGGAGTCCATGGCTTTCCAAAATGCTCTGAAGCAGTTTGTGTCGACTGTTGATACTGATTATACCAAGGGAAATCCCGATTTTTTTATTGGTTTTGAGGGGAGCTTCGGTAATCGCCATGTCACCCCCAGGACACTCACTTCTAGATATCTGGGAAATTTAGTTTGTGTTGAGGGAATCGTTACCAAGTGTTCTCTCGTACGTCCGAAGATTGTTCGCAGTGTCCACTACTGCCCAGCAACGAAAACAGTGATGGAACGAGCATATACTGATCTTACATCTCTCGACGCTTTCCCTGGTTCAGCTATTTATCCCACACAAGACGTCGATGGAAATCCCTTGGAGACTGAATTTGGTCTTTCGACATTCAAGGACCACCAGACATTATCAATCCAGGAGATGCCAGAAAAAGCTCCGGCGGGTCAACTACCTCGCAGTGTTGATATCATTTGTGACAATGATTTAGTCGATCTTTGCAAGCCTGGCGATCGAGTGCAAGTCGTTGGAAACTTTCGTTGCCTCCCGGGCAAGCACAACGGCTACACAAATGGTACCTTCCGCACTGTTCTCATCGCCAACAGCATCACCCAGCTCTCAAAAGAGGCGACCCTCTCAATCTCCCACGAGGACGTGGCAATGTGCAAGAAACTCGCAAAAACTAATCCCCGGAACAATATTTTTGATCTGCTGGGGCAGTCATTGGCGCCCTCGATCTACGGTCATGAGTACATAAAGAAAGCTATCCTGTGTCTCCTCCTAGGTGGAGTAGAGAAGATTCTTCCAAATGGAACTCGCCTCAGAGGTGACATAAATATTCTTCTGATAGGCGATCCCTCAGTAGCTAAGTCCCAGCTCCTACGTTACGTCCTCTGCACAGCGCCACGTGCAATTCCCACGACAGGTCGAGGCTCTTCAGGTGTTGGTTTGACAGCAGCTGTGACTGTCGACCAGGAGACGGGGGAGCGTCGTCTGGAGGCTGGTGCTATGGTCCTGGCGGATAGAGGAGTCATCTGCATAGATGAGTTCGATAAAATGTCAGACATCGATCGGACAGCAATTCACGAGGTTATGGAGCAGGGAAGAGTGACGATTGCCAAAGCTGGAATTCATGCGAGTCTCAATGCCAGGTGTTCGGTGTTGGCAGCTGCCAATCCTGTCTATGGACGTTATGATCAGTACAAGACTCCTATGGAAAACATTGGGCTCCAGGACTCGCTGCTCTCTCGTTTTGATCTTCTTTTCGTGATGCTCGACCTTATCGACTCGGACCAGGATAATATCATCAGTGAACACGTTGTTAGGATGCACAGGTACAGAAATCCAGCGGAGCAAGATGGTGAGGCACTCCCTTTGAATAGCAAAGCAGACATGTTGAGCACTAGGGATGTTGATGCTGAGGAGACTGAAAGGGAAGATAATCCGGTTTACGAGAAGTATGATCCACTGCTTCATGGCAATTCGAGGGCCAAGACCGATCAAATTTTGAGTGTCAAGTTCATGAGGAAATATATTCATATTGCGAGGTGTATGAAGCCCAAATTGAGTGAGGAAGCTGGCAGGACTATCGCTGCTGAATACTCCAGGCTGAGGTTTGTGATTTATACGTTGAGTAAAGATAGTTGAGATATGGGGTTTTCATTTATCGTCCCCGACTAGTTTATATTCTTTGAAATTTCTTTTCCCCAATATAATGAAGATCTTGAATTTTACTCTTTACAGGTCTGAAGAAAATGACCAAGCAGAAGAGGCGAGAACTCAGCCGGTGACTGCTAGAACCCTAGAAACCCTCATTCGTTTGTCGACTGCTCACGCCAAGGCAAGATTATCAAAAACAGTTACAGTTGATGACGCAAATTCGGCTATTGAATTAGTGCAGTTTGCTTTGTTCAAGAAAGTACTTGAGAAGGAGAAGAAAAATAAAAGGAGAAGAATGAGTGAAGCGAGCTCTGGGGACGAGACTCAGGAGGAAATTAGGAAGAAGAAGAGAACGAGAAGAGGGAGTGTCTCCACTGGGGATGATCCCTATGAATACGAGAGTGATGATGATTCACATGTGGATGAGGCTGTCAGAAAGGTCACGAGATCCCAAACTATCGCTGAGGAGACTGCCAGTCAGCTTCAAGAATCCATGGAGACTGATTCAACACCTGAAACCATTGCTGAAGACAGGTTCAAGCTCTTCAGGACTTCTTTGCATAAAATGTTCCAGCAGCAGCGTACCCAGTCACTTCCTGTAGAAAAGATCAAGGAATTTTTGAATAAGGAACACAGTCCGGAGTTCTCCAGCGGAGAGGTCAAGGCTGCCATCCACAAGATGACTGAGGCCAATCAAGTCATGTTGGCAGACGATCAAGTTTTTCTAATATAAATTGACATTCTCTTTTTTTCCATGTTTTTTTTCTTATTTAATTACGTATTGGTAACCACTTTAAGTTTTTTTTTTACATTTTTTGTCAATTGAATTTAATAAATTAGATTCGAAATCGAATAGATGAGGCTTTAATTAGTATTTCTCTCTACATACATAATCTAATGGGCTTCTTATGATTTATTCTCAAAATTGGTAGATAATTGAACAAAAAACAATAGATCTTTTTTTTAATTTGAAAAATGATGGAGATAATTCAAAACGATTCACATAATGTTGTGAATAAATGACTTGGACATTTATTACTTTATCTAGTAACATTTATTAGCTCTATATATTACAACACATTGGCACATAAACTAGGCAACAATTATTCAACATTTATCACGTCAACGTAAAACGTTATAATGGCTTACGTCATCTAGTGTCATATTTTTAATTTTGTTTTCCATGTAAATATTTATATAAAATCAACTCATACTGCGACCGTGTATACATATCCTTTACTTGGCAATCTGCTGTCATCATTCTCGAATTAATATTTAAATTCTTTAGGCTGTCGTCCGAATCCATCCCCTTTCACCTGTATCTGGTATTTTTTTTCCTTATTCACTTAATAATATTCATGTACGCATTCATAAATTCATGTATACTCTATTGTCCTGTACACTACATTAAATAATAACACTTCGAGTATCTGTTCATCTACAACGTAATATATCTGCGGATACATTTGCCAATTGGCCCCATAAAAAATATACAAGTTTCACCCAGCGAAACTCAAAGAAAATTCTCGAGGCTTCAACTTGATGTTTCATCTTGATGGTTTCATCAATAATTCTAGGTTTATTGATTAATTAAATACTTTAAAGTATTTTTTTTTTTTGATGGAACACGTCGTCTTCGTTATGAATCCAGTTGCGAAGTGGTGAACAATAATGAGTCATGTTTTTAGTCTGTGTTAATTGTCACATGTAAAAAACGAGTTGTCCGAGGAGAAAATTTCAAGAGACATTTTTTGACATTTTCTCCAATCTACAGTTTAGATTCACCCATTTCCCAAATAATCTGATACTTAACAAACTGTGAAACGCGACGTGTTACGTTTTATCATTTGAACCATTGAATTTATTATCAATATTAAAATAAATAACGTTTTTGGTAATCTATTACGCTCGAAAACAATTATCACGATACGCAATCGTTCAACAATATTAACGCCTGTATTCATCGAGTCGTAAATACAAATATTCAATCCTGCAGTGAAGTGATGAATAGGAGAAACATTGGAAGATTAAACATCGATCATTTTTTGTGAATAATATCGAAAACTACTACTCTGTTGGGAAATTAGACTTATGGTTGTTGTCGCGTAGAATTTTTTTTCGACAGTTTTCGTTAAAAATTTTATGGTGAATAGTTTGAAAAATTAGCAACAAAATGAGCCTTTTCCGTTTGCAATTGACCGTTTTGAACTTGAGATATAAATTTTTGAAATTCGAGTGATTTAACACGTGTTTAAATGGAGTTTTGCCGATTAGAATTTTTTAAAAATCAACGGCTCGACAGTTTCAGAAATAAAAAAAAACGTGGAATATACATCGTGGGAGGAAATACAGAAAAAAAATCAAATCGATTGACCGTTTGGTTTACGGAATATAATTATCGGAAATTCATAAATTTATATAATTGAAAATAGTTAATATGGAAAATATATAGTTATGCTTTAGCTATCCATGCACAATGCAATCAATCAAGTGAGACTATATACCGCTAAAAGATTGTGTTCTAAACTGGCCCGTTTTACAGCGGATAAACTTTTTACAGAGACTGTCGCGCGACAACAACCTTAAATCTTTTAATAATTTATCATCCACGATTTCATTTAATTTCTTGAATATTTTGGTAATGGTCAATTTTATCAGGTTGATATGACATTGAAAAATCAGTCATTAATTAACGTAACAAACCCAATTTTCTAGAATTTTCAATATAAATGCGGAATTTACTGACAATGTTTAATTGAAATTGAATTGAAACTCATATAATTACAAATTATGGGAATTTTGTGACTGAAATTTCAATAAATTTTCAAGAATGTAGTACATTGAGATGAAATCTTGAGATACACTTTCATTTTTTCACCTATTTTTTTCTCTTCAGCGTTCTCTCCCTCGACATATTCACAACATAATTGGCACTTAGTCCTCCAATCTATCTCCCATTTTCTACGAATTCATCACAGAATATTCCTAATGGTAGTGATAATTTATTCAATATTTTTATCTGTTGCCCAACACGAAGAAAACTATATCATCTGTATAATTTGATTTTCGTTTGTTTAATATTTTCATAATCGGATAGAAAAAATGAGGGGAATGATAAACTATTTAGACCCAATATGGTTTACCTTTTGTGTTGTTAGGCATTATTATTTTTTCATCATTAAATATCGTAAAAAATCTGACATCACTCAGTCTGTAACATGCAGTATAATGTCTAATTGACTTAACTTAAATCTTTCTCATCGTTCCTTTCATTTTTTTTAAATGCTTAATTATTCAATAAGAGGAGCCGGATCGTTTCCCATCGCTAAAATGACTTCGTCGAATCGTATCCTGCGCTCATTGTACTAACAGTTGCCCTTATATATTTGGTTTTTTTTAGTTTTTAAACATTTTTTTTAAAACATTTTGGTTTTTTCTTTCCTCTCAACAGCGAACTCCGACGACCTCAATACAAACGTAAGAGCTATCACTTGTGCCAGGACGCAGGAGAGATGGAGTTTGGGGGTTGGAGGATGAGGAATGGGGGATGAGGGATCGGGGATGGGGGATGGGGGATGGGAGATGGGGGATGGGGTGTGGCTGTGGCAGACCACTCGTAAAAAATCTAATCGTTTCTACGTACAAATTCTACATTACTTTTCAACATCAATTTGAGTTGGTTTAATTTTCTTTGTTATTTGTTTATCGAGCAGTCTCTACAATCACGCGACGTCATTCATTTCTTACTCGCGAATTCACTCTGATTATTTTATCTGAGGATATTTATTCAGGGGTGAATAAGTGAAATTGGTGTAGTAACTTGTGATTTTTTAATCTGAAAAATCCGGTGTTAAATAAAAATATCATCTTTCTACCTTGATACAATAAGATAAATTGAAAAATTTTTCCGGGCTTCATATTTTTAATAATTCATTTCAAAGTAAGGAGAAAACATTATTACTTCTCACACTGGAATATTTAACCCGTTCTTAATTCAATTGATCTCAATTTTGAGTAATGAGTACATTATCATATTTCTATTTTTTATTGACATTACTGTGGACGTTCAACAATTAACAAAATGTCACGTGAAATCACAAATATTTCACCGCATCGCCCCTGAATTATCCAATTTATCATGGGTAAAAATGAAATGAAATTAGTGATAAGGAATTATGTTTCGATTCACGTGATTAGGCACCCAGAAACACGAAAAAACATTTCGATGATAAAATACTTTGTTTTTTTTTTCTCTTAGAAATAAAAAAATGTTTCGTGTGCGTTATTTTTTTTTCTGCCTTTCAATAGTTTCATATGTTCTTAGTCATGGATGTTAATCGAGGGGGCGTCTCTACAGCGATAGAGTAGTAGATAAGAAGAGCCAAGTCGAATCATTGACTTAATGATAATGACGGCTGTCACCACAGCGGGTCCGCCTTCCACAGCGGACTGGGCCTCGAATTCATCAGTTCCTCTAATAAAGAGTTATCCCCAGCCAGAGGGACGACTATTAGTGGAAATTTATGACTTTCTCAACTCATGGAAATTTCATCGAGATTTTTCAAAATTCATCCTCACTCGATTCACTACTGTAGGCTAATTGTTCACGCCACCATTCTCGTACCTCTTGGGTTACACTCGATATTTTTGGAGCTGTTACTTTTGCGTTCGATGATTCGCGCGGCTGACGATTTTGCTCTGCTCCTTCCGTTAAATAAGGCAAATTATTCTTGACCAGAGCTGAAATATATCATTAAAATGTATTTTTTTAAATCAAATTATGTATTGCAAGTACTCCTCGCTATATTATTGAATAATTTCCCCTCAATGCACTCCCGCAGTTACTTATATTTGTGAATAATTTTTAAATTTCGTTGAGACACACCAGCTTTCAACTATATCTTGTAGGGCACGATGAATAGTATATTGTGTTACAAGGGCGGAAAGTCAGTGTTTTCCCACCCAAGATACACATTCTATTTTACAACATCCCCGCAAAGTGAACTTTATGCTTTGCTGCCTGAAAAGCGGGAGGAAAGTGAATACTGAATGAATTTCCGCCCTAGGGTGGAAAGTTGCGCTCAAGGGGCATCACCTTGGCTTCACCTTTCTACCCGAGGGCGGGAAGTACTCACTTTCCCCCGCTTATCAGGGAACAAAGTGCGAACTTTCCGTGCAGGCGTGTTGAAAAAAATATTACCAAAATTTCAGGAATTTTAACTAATCTATTTTTTTTTATATACAACGTCAAACTTTGGAAAAAATAGGATAAGGACCTGTGATACTAGCTCAAGGGGTTATATAGATTTCGCAGTGTGAATAAATCGATTTTTTTTCTTATTAATTTCTACAGAGTACAGAGTAATGTCTACAGTATTGTCCAGAAATTTCGAATCGATCGGGTAAGAGTTTTAGAGATAGAGTTTTAAGGCCGTTTTTCTCGGAATTGTGTTTTTAAAGTCGATCGATAAGATTTCTCGAAAACCATCGAACCGATCTTGACCAAATTTTGCACACGTCTTTGAGATACTGTCGTCCACTTCTCTAACGAAGGATTTTTCATTATCGCGAGTATTTTCAAATATGCAATATGTAGTGAAAATTCCATCGAAATTTGTAATTTTTCATAAAAAAGTTTACAAAAAATCCAATTATTGTATTCTTATTCTTTCCTTCGTTCAAGGAATAATTTAAGGTGTTGAATGCCTTTTTCCGACCTCATCGAAAATTACCCCTCAATGGCTGACTTTTCAGAAGTTTTCAACGAAAATTCCAGGAAATCTTTTTTAAATATATATCTTTAACATAAGGGAAAATGCGAATTAAATG